TTTGGGGGCCCCCCCCCCCCCCCCCTGGAGTTTAAGGCGATGTTCACACTATGCCGGATAGCTATGCGCTGGGACGTAAACCATACTGGATTGATAGGGCTTCTATTTACACATGTTCCGAACTGTCATTTCGGCGTGATTTCTATAACAGAGTAAAGCTGCGCCGCGATAATATCTAAAATGGAGAGTCACTTACCAAAGTGTGAACTTAAGTCCAGCCTTTAAGTCCAGCCTGCGTAACGGTTTCTTGTTGCTCTCGCCCCAATCTCCTCGCTTTTTTACGGCCCCCATCTTGGCTTGTTTGCGCGCCCGACCAAAACCGCCAAGGCTTTGATCAGTCGATCGTAGCGTACCGCGCAATACATTCTTAGGGGCACTTTCACGATATGGCTTTGAATATGACAACAAGCAAGTTTCCTAATTATAGTAAACATGGCCTGCGTGGCAGGCATTCGAATCGGAAGGGGAAGGGAATTTGGGCGCGAGACTGCGCGCGAGGGAGAAGGTAAGAGGTTCCTTTCCCACCCCCTCGCGCGCCTTTTGCACCAGTCTCGAGCGCCCGGAATCCATTCCTCTTTCAAACGTCTGCCGCCAAGCAGGATATAGACAGCAAGACTTCTAAGTTACGTGAGCGCAATTTTCTTATCTCTCAGCATCTCTCCGGGGGAGCAATAAAGTCGTGCTTGTAAAACGAAGCCGTATATATTAGGAAGGAAGGGAGCAAAAGTTACCCCTATTTTTGCACATTTGCACTCACAAGGGTCAGGGTCAAACATCAAACATGCAGGGTGATCTGGTTCCAAAATGACTCGTGATGATGGGTTAAGGGGAAAGTAGCATCAAAAACGGAAGTTTAGTAGTCAATACCTGCACGCTTAAAAAATTAATGATTCAAAAAGTCACACCACTTCTTTTTTAAACGGACAATGGCTCTTGAAGCACCAAGAGATAGTTTGCAATTGCATAATTGAGTTATTGAAAGAAAGATACCAACAATTTTAATTTTTTTTTGCAAATCAACAAGTCATACGGACGAAAGTATCAATCAAATGACCCCAATTTTTTTAAGTGGCAATTTCTTTTCTTCCTTCATCCGATGGCAAAAATAACCGTCACCACTTCAGCGTATGCCTAAAGCTGTTCTTAAAGACTGAACTCTTATTTTTCATAATTGAAAACATATCTGCTTGTGTCTTTGATTACTTGTCGTTAAAGTCTCTAACGGAGTAGGCGTGATCAATCACCACTACGCCCCTTTTAAGCAAATACACCAAAATTAATCGACTGGAAGCTGAGAAGTTGCACGATTCTTTGAGGCAGTTATATGTTTTGAACAGATCCTTATCACGTAAAACTTTGTTGCTTTTAATAGTAAATGACAATTTCTTTGGTAACTTTCCAAGCCCGATAATTTTAAAAGGCGAATGGTTCCGTAAGTATTAGAAGGTGCTAGAACATTACACATGCCCCGCTAATTAGAGGTTGACTTTAACTAAATGATATCACAAGTTATTAGAAATCAGCACGGAACCGCGGATATGACGTTTTTAATACCTATTCAGCAAGAAAGGCAGTAATGATTTAGACAAATGTTACTAGAGTACCATTACCAGCCCCGGGGGGGGGGGTACTCCCTTATACAAGCTATATAGGTATGTGGTGGAAGGACTAAGCGACTGAAATTGATGTCGAAGACTTGCGAGGGGAGGAGAAAGTGCGATTATCAAGATAATTTCAGGTTCTACACGTTAAACAAAACCTGAGACCAGAGTCAGTACAAAATCCCCAGACCACTGCAATAGACTCTATTCTGAAAGTCTTAAAACACGTAAAGCTGATATAATGAAGCATCCCCAGGCCTGTCAGAATGATAAAACCTTTTGATTATATTTTAATAATTGATAAGTCAAAACTTTCAGGGCCGGGTGACACGACAGAGTGATTTTAAATTCTGAATTTAATATCTTCCATTTGCACGTAAAGCGCTCTATTTAAAGTTCCTACCCTAACACGGCACACTTTATTATTCCTAGTTTTCCTCTCTGCAGTCTCACTTCAGAAAGTTTTATATCTGGGATTTGGTCTTGCTCCAGAATGTTTGAGTCTACAGATGTTAAGGTTGTAGAAACGCTCTTAACTTAAATTCAGAAAACAATAATGTCCAATCAACGTACCACTAAAAACTACTGAACGTTCACAGTTTAATCAAAAAATAAAAGCATAGCTTAAATTATATATGATACTAGCAAAGCTGCAATAATTTGTAAATGTTCGTTTTACCTAACCCTTTCCATTATCCCTCCCATTTTTTCTTTACGTATACCTCTACTTACCAGAGAAGAAGCTATCATTAAATTACTCTGAACTGAATGTCATTGTCAACTCAAACCAATTAATGGAAGTGTGTGTCAAGAGAGAGTAAAGGAACATCTAATAGCACTTAGGTTAATCTTATCAATCTTAGAAACCTTTAAGATAAACTAATTAACAATTATTCCACGAGTGCGCGTTGGATATGAGATGGTCATAGCCAATGAGACACGTAGCGCCGAGTTGGTTATAATCATCTCATATCCAACAAGCGCGAGTGGAATAATTATTTTATTAAAAACGCCCAAAGAATATCGAGAATTCTTCCCTACTTTATTTGTAAAAATAACCGATTTTCAGCTTGTTTTCAATTTCGAGCAGACGCTACAGTTACCTTGGAGAGCCTGGTATAATGGCTGTTAGTAAAATCCAACTAGTGGTCTATTATCAATGCTGCGTTCTGATTGGTTGAGCTACTACTAGGCTATATGTTATAGCCCACTAGTAGCGAAAAGCGTGGGCTTTTTGGCAGCAAAAAAGGATCAAAGTCTAGCTTTAACTAGCTAAAAGTTTTTTATTCTCGATATTTTTGAAAAACTAGTTCAAATTGTACTAAAACAATTATTCCTCTCGCCCTCATGGGCCTCAGTCTGAGCCAAAAGCTCATGCGGCCTTCGGCCTCATAGGCTATTGACTTAGAGCCCCTTCGGGCTCGAGGAATAATTGTTGAATATTCCGTGATGGCTAAGCCAATCCGAGCTCTAGTATTGCGTTATCCAATGATTCAGTCTTTAAGAAAGTGAGATAGACTAAATTGTGTTAGTGCATATTGCAAAATGGGTTGTCACATTAATTAGTCTTTCCCATTTTTCATTTCCTCTTTAAGCATATGCAAAAAGTCTCGTATGAAGCTACTAAAATGTGATAAAAAGATAGCGACATATTATTTTGCACAAGCCGTGGAAGATGTAAGCTGAGAGTGAGTTATGCGAAAACAAGTTATTTTTTATCACTTATATGCTTAGCTACAAAAATGAAACTATACAATATTATTCGCTCAGATCAACTGAATATCGCTGAGTTATTTATGAGTAAATATAAGCAATAGATACGGAATTGTACCAAGACATATTCAATGAACCTGAGTCAAGTAACATCCTTTTAACGACGAGGAATGATTTAAACACAGCAAAAGAAATAAAAGCTAAATCGTTATTTTAACTGACTTTATACAAATATAAAGTTGTTAAATTCTTCGTTTTCACATTTACAGTTGGGGATCCTCGGTCCAAGTTTCATCCAACCACCGTAACAACTCCGCAGGTCCACCCCCTCCCAGAGAGTTATTTCGGCACTAATCCCTTCTCCCTTGCATTTGCCGTGTCTGTTCATAGTGTGATCCTGACATTCCACACAGATTGGCTTCTGTGGGTCGAGTTGGTCTGCCCAGGTATTCTTGCAATGAGGGTGTTTGAAGAATACCTTGTAGTTAACACAGTAGCTCGGTCTGTGGGAAAAAAAAACTTTGTCATATAACATTGTCTTATAACCTTAGAGATTCTGAAAACAAGCTTGCTCTTCCCTTGCCACGAACCAGTTACTATAGAAACAGCTTCTGCTACAGCGGAGCCGTTCTGACGAACAATTTGCCTACTGATGTAAGACAAGCAAAATCTTTGACTGGCTTTCGGAAACTGTTAACTTCTAGCTCGAACACGGCATTCATGGAAAACAGGCTTTAATTTTATAAATGAATTTTATTTATTTATTTATTTTAACATTCATCTTTGTAAATGCTATTACCGTTAATTCTATAGTTTGTAAACATTTTTAGGATATTGCATATTGTATATTTAGCTTGATTGTTTTTACCGTGTACAAATAAAAGTGATAATGATGAGGACGATGGCGATGACGTCATATTCAGCATCAAAGGGTCTAACAGTCCCCTCTCTCCTCTCCCTCCATGAGAGATAGACCACAACACCGGGGTCTAAATCTCCTACTCTTTTAGAACTGCATTGTGGGTTCTTTTTTGCGGACGGGGTTTGAACCCATCTCATCCCGCTCGGCAGACCAATATCTGAGAGCCTGCAGACCGGCGCTCCCATCGAAAATGAGCTCTAATTACATGCGTGCATGCAGAACGAGCACGCGAAAAACTACTACTGGTACGAGAGAATACTACCTTTTTGGTTTCTCTGTCTTAACTTGTTTCGATGCTGGTTTGATGCTTTTCCACTTTGAGATCCCCCGATCTTTCTCGTACTTGTGAGGCAGAATGCGCGCTAAACCTGAAAAAACCAAGAGGAAATGTATGGTTCTAAATGTGCATCTTTACACAAAATCCCGTCGTACGATCATGAAAATGCGAATGAAAGCTTCTCTCAACTGTGCTTCCACAAGGTACTGTTTATTGAGTCCGAGAATGAATCCCAGTGGTGTGAACTTTCACAAGGTACTATACATAAACTTTGTAGTTATAACATGTTAGTCTGTGTATGGTTCTTTTCCTAAACTTAAGGTTTCTCTACCAAGAATTCAAAGCTCTAGTCAAACGATCTTCTTTCTTGTTATTTCACCCTATAAATTAACGTGTCTTCATTTCTCACAAATTTATAACCTTTTTTTCATGTTTTCTAAAAGGCGCACAATTCTACATATTTGACATTTGAGGGGCTAATGTAGATTATTCGCGAATAAAAAACTACATCGTTGCGATTGTCGCAGTCTCCCGAGAGATTATAGTAACACTAGGCGAAAACGTCACGTGATCTGAAAGAAATCCCAGTGGTTCTTACCAGCCTCCCTTCCACAAATCTTGTTGAGGCATCCTTTCTTTTCTGTAAGTGGTGGACATTCCTTGCCTCCGTTCAATGGCACGAAAATGACGGTACGAGTTCTCTTACTAACACCTACACCGCATGTCGGCTCGCAGGGACCCCAATCTGACCATTTGCTTACCTCACAATCTCGCTTCCCTATGGAGACAAAGCATGCGTAGTTGAGCTCTCATGATTTGAACGCTACAAGTGACTTATATGGCATTGTGCCAGCCATTTTACAAAACAATTTTGCTTTACAAACGTAAGCAAATATGGCTGTAAATCATCTTTTGCGCAACGAAATTGAACAGTCTTAAAAATAGGGACTAAGGACTTAGGAGAAGACGTATTCTCTCTGTCAGTCAAGTGATAGTGGGAAGTTCATACATACTGTGACGTAGTTATGTTTCAACACAGTCAAAAGAGATTGAACCGGAATCAGCAAGTCCCTTAGAGAGCAGACTTGCCTTTTAGAAAGGTCAGACATCTTGTGTAAGAACTGTATTGCTGCCAAAAGCTCGAGAAATGCTCAGCCAACAAAACAATTGTATGTTTTTGGAAACAAAATAGTGTTTGAAGTGAAGCAGCTGTGAGAGCTTTGCTTTGCCATGATTGGTTACACAGATATAAATACACCAATTTGTCAGCCAATCAGAAGTGAAAACAAAACCAAGCGACTATTCTGGACCTTCTGCACCAGCTTTTTCCCGCGCTTGCGCCTGGGACCAGGTTCTGTTGGTTCATTGAAATGTAACTACACCTGTTCTGATTGGTCAGATCGACTTAGGAACTGCATAAACCTTTTCTGATCACTACAACGGTTGACGCAATGTTATTTCAGTGGTTTTAACTGTTTTCGTTCGTTTTTACCAGGCGAGAGTGGACAAAGCGGCGTCCCAGAATCCCTCCTATACTCTGTCAATAACTTTTACGACACTGTCAGTTTGTTTTGTCGGTGGCTCGTGCTTTTGTTTATCATCTTTCCGATATGATATTAATGGTCGGTGTTATTGATGGGTCTTGATGACGTGAAAACAGATATCAGTCCCCGAGCACGTGGACCAGACGTAAACTCGGCAAGCTTGGGGTCACGCTTAGCCCTTTATGATGATAAGTTTGTTGCCCTCTTGTGTCATTTTCGTCTATCACTCTTGATTCTAAACACGACCCATTAGTTCCGGCCTAAAATGTGCGCAAGTTAGATCTTTTTTATTAATCGATGATAGAAAGCAAGGAAATAATAATTGAACTTTAACTCTGAACGCAGTAAAAAACACGAGGAACTATCAAGTAGTGCTGTAATCGGAGAAAATTTTTAACTCGTTTTAGATCAACTTCGCCGATCACAATTGGGTTTTTAGGGCCAATTAAGTCACAATCTAATCTAAACAGGGCCTTTAATTCTCCTATCGTAATTCAAAAAGTTGTCAAGGATTCCAGAAGCTTCTGTTGAAGTTGTTTGTCAACTTTGTGACCGAGTCTATCGTGTATGGCCAACAAGCCGCTTTTTAAGTATGTACGGCTTTTAGTATAATCGATCTCTAAATATTAATTGTATTTTTTCTGATATCAAGCAGAAGAGAATAATTTTTTCCAAATTTCTACCTAAAAAAGTAACTATGTTTAAATCTGTTGGGTGTTTCTCATCAAGCAATCAAAAAAGATTTTTGAAACCTTTAGATACACTTCACCCTAATCCTTATGTAACCCGCCCGGGTCTTTTAACTGTTTCAATCGATGATTCGTGAGCTATGCCTACGCATTCCTTCGATGAAATAAGGACATTCTCCGAGCCGGCTATCAACAGGAGCAAGAATTTTAAGTTTTCCTGATTTAAGTTACAGTAAATGGCGTCATTATATACTCTTCGCTGTTGAGTGAGTGATGCAGTGTTTAATTCTCAGGATTGAAAAACACCATTCTCATCCGAACCCCTGCAGAAAGAAACTTAATATGGAGAGAGATTGGTACCGGTACTTTGTATCATCAGACGAAAGATTTGGGAAATCCTCTTTACAGAGTCATTACTAGAACTTCTATTTTAAAATCTATTTATACTTCTGGCCTAAATTCTCAGTTTGATAGATGAATAGCTACTATGATACAAATGAGAAAAATGTCAAATGGCCGTAACGTGGTTCCTCGGAATTTCAGAGGTTACTCACGTTCTCCAATAGAGACATCCTAAGAAGAACTGTGTTAAAAACTCACTCTCTACAGTCTCAGTAGTATTAAAGCTCTCCAAGTTCGAGGGAAATTTGTGTATTAAAGGATCTTTCCACATGCTAGTTATTTTTGACTGCCTCTTTTTCTCTCAGATCTTAAAGAGGATGAAACATTTTCTTTCTGGTAGGCAAAAGTCGACAAGACACTCTTTACGTTTCACTTTAATTCGGAATATATTAAGCGCTTTACTGCTAAATCCCCATCAAAAAAATGAACCAAGATGGCGTCGTATCTCCTTACCCAACTTTTAAACCAAATAAAACGAAAAAAGTTTAAAAAAAGACCAACGATAGCTCTCGTATATTCTTTTGGGCTACAAAGTACAAACGTGTCAAATGGCTTGAACTAAATTTGAACTAGTAAAAATGTTAAGTGACAAGGACGAATACCTTCCTATCAGCAACTTTATCATCTTCTCTTTCTATTTTTGGCATCATTTATCTGTCACGAAATTTCGTCAGGCTCGATTTACGATGTAAACAATCAACTTTAACAATTTTTATGTTACTGTACTCGTTAACAACTTATGATAAACCTATCTATCCCCTTGTCTTTTACCCCATACAGGACGTTATTAGGAACACGATTTGAAAAGTTTGGTGAATAATTGTTTGGACTAGCCATATACTTTGAAATCCGGCCCCAAGAGCTTTTTAAAATAATACATCTTTAAACCCGTTTTTTTTCTGCAAAATCTGCGAGAAGTACACTAAAAGGCTTATGTTTGCCGCTAAGATGAAAGAAATAAATACGGCAGATCAGTATTGCATAGCCGGAAAAAAGTGACCTCACCGACCAAGAAATAACAATGAATGCTCTGTGTACCCTTCAACTGGACACGACACGAGAAAACTGAGTGACACCATCAATTCATTTTCTTTCTATAAATTGAGCTCTTCTCTTATCTCACTTAGTAATCCCCTTTAAGAAAACTAAACCAGCCATTTTTTTTCTCTGTCGCGGCTCTTTTTTCCTGCCATTTTGGTGTTCGTTCTTTGCGGATAGCCGGTCTTCGCCCTCCGTTAAAAGGAAGTCGGGTTATGACAGTGTTGTAACAGAAAACACGTCCACGACAAGACACTTCTTTCTCGCGGCTTCAGAGAAGAGTGCGACCTCTTTGGCCGATTCGCTTGAGATCTAATTGTTTTTATTTCCGAAGGTAAAACAAACTTATCTTCAGTTGTCAAAGCCGCCAACGCTTTTTCACCCATTTCGGTGGGAAACAAAGAATCAATTAATGGACAATAAACTCAACGCGCTTATCGGCCTTTCTGCTAAAAAGGAAAAAATACAACTAATATACTATCACAAAAAGTATTAAGATTTTATCATTGAACAATGCTGGCTCGGATCGGGCGTTAAAAATATCAACAGACCCGTGATATCCAAACAGACTCACGAGGAGCCATCATTGTTTGCCCAAACCGCTTAATAGCTATAAACATTCAAAAATGGCGAAAAACTGGTGCAGTCTAAGGTAGAGCCTTCAACCCGTAAATAACGGCTATTGACTCTAAACGCCGGTACAAAGAAAGCACAAAACATTTCAATATTCTGACTTACGCTTTCCCCATCCACATGGCTCTTTTACGCTCTCGAAATCCGGACAGCAGTCCCCAGCGGCTTCACAGAATTCATCGCAAAAACACAGAGCGCTGTGAACAAAATTCTCCATGCCGCAACTGCTGTTTCGCCCCGCGCAACATCGCAAGGAACCGCCATGTTCTCTCTGATCACAGCAATGGACTGGCCCTCCTTCTTCTTTTTGAATGCAAACGCAGTTGGCTAAAGTAAACAGGGCAAAAGAGATCGCTATAATAAGCTTCATTGCCTCTGAATTTCGTATTGTTACCTCTTCGATACAATCCGGACGTCTGGGAAGAGACCTTTAGTGTTCGCCTTATTTACATCTAAAAATGCCTTAGACGGAGACAAGTCACGCCGGAAGTTTCAAGGCTGGCAGTGTTTCAAATGGCATGTCAAAATTTGATGTCTGCAACAAGATCCTTGATGTCCGATCCGAGGGTGGACTGCACGTGGAAACTCGGTGACAGATCTCTTATAGACTTTACGTTAACCAGGTCAATGAATGTAAAGATATTTCGTTGCTTTTGAACACAATTGTACAAAAGTTTCTGTTTTTTCACCAAACTACAAGCTGTTATTAAAAATCTGGGAGGGAAACGCAGGAATCTGGGCAATGTCCGCGCTGTGTGAAACCCTTTTGTAAAAGCCTTCAATAAACCTCTATTTTCCCCAAGCCGGGCATTAAGCTAGCCTATCCTAGTAATCACCAAACCACAAATCGACTTGCTGTCAATTTGCGCTGCACCTAAGAGACTGTGTCAAATATTTCCCTTGAAATAATAATTTTCGAAATGGCCTTGTTTCGGACTATTAAAAAGTACAGTGTAAGACTAAAATAGGCCGAGGAGAGAGGATTTTTATGAAAAAAGAAAAGGAAAAAGAACGCGTAGTAAATAATCGTAATGGGAAACCAAAATGTTAGAGAGTCAGGAACTGATGAGGCCGTCAGCCAGATCAGAGACCATAAAAAAGTAAACAATCTCTTTTCAACACACATCAAGTACAGAGATCAAGAAGGTAATTGAATTTTTGTGAAAGTCGGAAGTAAAACCTCTAACGGTTGTAACTCATCAAAGCATCGCCTTTTCAGACACATGTGTTCTCAGCAAAACTCTAAAATCTACAAAACGTTTCTACATACAGATGTGAATTTTAGTTATTGGATTATTCAGCTATAGTATTGTCATCACAGATGATCGCCTTTACGTCACTTTTCGGTTGTCGGACGAACGAACATGAACGAACCATTTTTCAATCCCGACCTTTGGGGCCAATGAAATACCCAACAAAAACCTTGCATTTGCATTAAGTGCCTCGAATTTTCTTTGGGTAGAAGTTTCTTTAGATTTATCATGATTTATCTCACACTTTTACCAGGACTTTAACTGAATGGCACAGAAATCAGTAAGGAGCAAAACATTTTACACGCCACAACCACCCCCCCCCGGGGGGGGGGGTGTTTACTCCCTTACAAGAGCCCTAGCCTAATGGAGATGTGCCGCTGGATGGGGTCGCATTTTCACGACTGGATTGATCATAATGGGGTCGCAATTTCATTAGAGCTACTAGAATGGCAGAGAATGGGGTCACACATTTTCAGATTTTTGGGTAAGGCAGTCCTTCATATTTCCGGTTAGCACACGTACCAAAATATTTGTACTGTAGGTAGATGAAAAGCAAAGTGTTCTTCATTCAATCTAAAAAAATGGATCAATTCATAAAAATAGAAAGTGACGAAGTTGGGATCGCGAAAATTACATATTAGCCTATTATTGGCCACAGAACAGACTATAATGGGGAAGGGACTGTGAGAGGCCAGCGGCGCATACCCAGCAAAAATTAACCCAAGTACCCCCCCCCCCCCCCCCACCAAAAAAAAGCACCAAAAAATTAAACCCACAAACCACAAAAAAAAAGGGGGGGGGAACTCTCCAAAAGCCAACAAGCAAGAAAAACCACACCCAAACCATATTTTTGTGACACAACTTTTTATTTTTTACCTATTTACAAAAAAAAAAGACAAAAACAACACTATTGCACACACGCGAAAATGGGAGGGAGGGGGACCCGGGCCCCAACCCAAAAAAAAAAAACCCCAAACCCCCCCCCCCCCCCCCCGAAACAAAAACGTGCTCTAAAATTTGACCAGCAAAACCAACAACAAAAGTGGGTGGACAATTTCCGAAAGCGCAAACAGTGTGAAACGACCACACTTCATCCATTTTACTGATAACGCTTTAATTGTTTTGACCTTTTACACAAAAGAAACTGATAAACAAATTTGTATCGTACCGCGGAACAAAGCTGGCAAAAAGGACAATTTTAAGACTATTCAGTGCGCCCCCAGTGTCGTATACCTCTTCGCCTTCAAAACAAGTTATTACTTGAAGAACCGACAGCTCAATATTGAGCTAAACGGAAGAGAGTACAAGGAAAAGGATTATGTGCCCCCCCGGGGGGGGAACTCAATAAAAATTTTTAAACCGGGAGGCTCCGGCCCGAGGTCCAACCCCTTACCCTTTTAAAAACCATTTTTCACGAAAATGGTACCCCTTTCACATACCTTGCTTAGAACTTTGCATTCCTTTTAACTGCTGTAAATGCATTGTCATTTAAGCAGGAATCAATCACAAAAATAGAACGTTTTCCCGACTTTATACAGCTATAAAATTCATCTGTTCGGCCCTTATGGCCCTTTCGCAGACCCAAATAACAGATATCCCTACCCTTTCATATACTTCAACGAGTAAAATCCCTATCCCCTCATATACCTCGGGCTATTATAGGGAGTACCCCCCCCCGGTTTGTGCCTCGAGGTAGAAAGCCGTGTGGTAAAAAAAGAGAACAAGCCGCTTGGCTATGCGAAAAAGGCGACAAACTAATTTCATACTTGCCCATTCAAGGCAATCAGAAAACAAACACAAGACTGAAAAAAAGCGAAGAAGAGAAAAAAACTAGTAAAATATAACTAAAAATAAAATGCTAAATATAATTAAACCCCGAGACAAAAGGCCCTCTTGTTTATACACTACCCCGAATAGTTTAATCCTCTCTCGTTTAATTTAATCTCACTGTTTTTTTCAAAACAGGAAAAATAATAACAACTATAAGATATCAAAACTACTTTAGTTACGAACTATGATCACGGAAACTTTTCAAGTGGAATAAACCATTTCACTTCCAGAGTCAAAACCGGAGATATACAAGGTGTAAAATTTATGTAGAAGTGTTATCGCCGTTTCTGGTGTTTGAGTGTGCTATTACCCCTTCAAACCCTAACATCAGAATTCAAATTCTCATTTGTTATCCCTATACGTTTCCAATAGAAGTAGTGGAGAGAATTTGTTGAAGTATCAATTAGATTCATCTTGTGTGATCATGTCCTCAATTCTCATGACCACTCTGTGTTACAAAGCATTGATATTACAAGGAGAAATTTGATGCTGATCACTCTTAGGGCTTAAAGGGTTAGAGTGAACCTGGGGCGACCATTTCAATGAAACTTTGTCAGTAGTATTTTTCATATGGTACTGATTTGTATAACCCTTATCAGCAAAGGAAAGCTTGGTGTTATTTATGAAATTCCCTTTCACAAAAGCCGGAAATTTCTTAGCGTTAATCGTTTCACACCCAGAGTGCAGTGAATGATGAGTCTTGCAAAATGGGTCTAATTTTTGAGTTTGTGATGAATTTCTTTGTGACCATTCAAATAAAACCTCTTTGGTAGTTCTTAAGGAGGGAAAGATTTGTTTTTCAGCTTTACTCAAAATGAAACTTGGAAAGTTTGCTACAATTTTGGGAGTGAGGGGCAGATTAAGGTTGGTGATTTCAGTGAGGTCTCTTCACCATTGAGTGAAAGGTGCAAACCGGAACCGTGCACGTTGACCACTCTTGCAGCGAGGAAGACCGCCTTTTCATGTAAAACGACCCAAAAGAGGACATACTCCCATGACGGACCCTTTTAGAGAATTCATCTGAGTGGTCGTCAAGAAAGGAACAGTGGGGAATAAATAAAATTACTATCTAAGAATCTCCATGGGGAGGGGGTGGGGAGGTGTGTGGAAGGGTACCTTTTCACTCCCCATCCCCGTTCCTCTGAGACTTGTTTGCAGGGGAGAGGGGTTGAGCATTTTTTTTTCTTTTTCAAAACGAGATTTGTCCAAGAAATTCTGGCTAAAAATGCAAGGAAATAAGACCGCCTTTTTTTCACTGAGCTGAAGCTGAATTTGCGGCAGAGTATTGAACTGGGCACAGATCTCTGGAGCATAGTAGAACTGGTCACTTACGCTAGAGCTCCGATCCGTTTGACCAGCACCACAGATCATATATGAGATACCTTTCGGGTCGAACAGTGGAGCTGACAAAAAGGATTGTGGCCTCGGGGGAGAGAGTGATCATGATAGCATTAAATGAATTATTCTATTCTCGTCTCAGAGAATGTAGGATTTTGAGTTAATTATCTTACATAGGATTAACCATCGTCCCTTGAGAAAATCTTGAAAGGATGACTCTTTCCTTGCACGTTAAAATAATAAAAGATTTGGGACTTCTACAGGGTTTTTTAAATATTGCATGCATGCTTATCTATTAATTTCATGGTGCACTTGGCCTTAACGGCTAGATGAATCACATATTCGAAGCAGGCTTTGCTGTTTTGGGCATCGAAATAACCTACGATCTGCATCAATCTGTTTTAGGTGTGTGTGTGTGTTTGTGTGTTGGGGGGGGGGGGGGGGGGGGGGGGGCGGGGGTGGGGGCGGGAAAAGGGGTTTTCCCAAAATTTCAAAGGGGGCCCCCAGGGGGGGTTTTAGGGGAAAAATAAATTTTTTTTACACAAAAAAAATTTTTTACATTTTTTTAAAACAAAAATTAAAAAAACACACAAGAAGAAATAAAAAATTGTAAAAAAAATAAAAAAAATAAACAATGACATTTTGTTTTTTGGGGGGGGGGGGGGGGGGGGGGGGGAGAGCGTCCGGATCGTGCGAAGATGTCGCGAATTAGAAAGTCAATTGCAGCAGCGAAAGTTAACGAGTAACTGATGTACAGGAAAGGATCCCAGCACAATCGTTCATCTGAAATATCTGCCGTATTGTTTTGATTGGTTGAAAACAAGAACACGGAATACGTTCAAGTATTCCATCTTTCGGTGGGTTAATTGGGAACCGTACCCCAAATGGTTAACATCCCAGAATCACTCTACATCCCCTTTAGAAGTGGAAATTTTGCAATTTACTACCCTTCCCTTATGATAAATTTTTATTACCACCTAGGCCTTCATTTTGGACGGCACGTGGCCAAATACACCCAATAAACATTACGAATGACTTCACGCGAAAAAGACTGTATTAAGTCCAAAATATGCTTG